GAAGTAATTGGTTCAGGTTTTTTTAAATAATTTGAGATCTTGTTTATATGGTATATGGATCCCATGCATGTAGGGACGGATCCACATTTGTTACAGTGGGGGCAATTGCCCCCACAACTTGAAAGAAAATTACTTAAAAAGACATAGGTTATATTTTTATTGCCCTCTCAAAAAAAAAAATTAATTGCCCTCTCATTTTAAAAGAATTTCATTTATTTCCTTCTAAAATTTTACTTATTTCATTAGAAAATTTATTATCTAAAACTATAATATATATATATATATATATAAACTTTGAATAGCAATAGTTTTATGATGGAAAAGTAATAGTTCAAAAAAAATTATTTATGAAAAAAATTTGAACAAAAAATTCTCAAACATGTAATTTCTTTGGAGGCAAAATGATGATAAGAAAATGAAAAGGCTTTTGTGTGTAAAATTCTCTACCATACAAAAGAGGTATACTCCCTCAACTAAATTTAAGTGTTGGATGTTAAAAAAATATAAGATATTTTTAATGTTTCAATGTATAATTAATATATTTTTAAAAAGTTTTTTAATAAATAAATCACTTTATATTTATTTTAAAGTGAAATACCTTATTAAATAGAGGTAAATATGAAAAATAATATTAGTTCGAAGACAACTAACTAGTTTATTGAGGTGAGATTTAGTCAAAAATATCTTACATTTTTAAGTAGGGGATATAAATTTAATTTAATAAAAATAAAAAAACATGATGCTATATATAAAGATAGTCTTTTATGTTATTCTAATGCTATCTTTATGTCATGTTTTAAATATTTAATTTTATTAACTTATATAAAAAATATAATTATATATATAATTATTTTTTATAAAAATATAAATATTTATTTTAAATATAAATTATGTCTCTATTGATTTATTTTTTTGAATCCATCACCGCATGCATGTGCCAACTACATGCATGAGATGAATCGCGCAATGTGGCAAAATCTCTTGCTCTCAGTAGAATCAATGGCCGTAAAAATTTTATATAATCAAATACAGCATTCACCCAATCCCCCCCTCTCTTGGTGGCTGGTGCATATCTAATCTCCTTCCTTATTTGGTGCCATCATACACATATTCTACTTCCGCAGCACATGATCTCAGGAATTTCAACTGGTAGAAGATTGAACTAGAAACAAGATCATCCTTTCTGGAAAATTGTGAAGCAAAAGACACGAAGAAGAAGATAATGGAAAGTACTGGAAGAGAGAAACATTGGATGTATCTGATTCCATAAAATCTTTATGCAACGATGTTCTCTTGGGGGAACTTTGTACATACTCTCAAAATGCCCACTTTTTCCCCCCTTCACATGCGACATTTTCAACGGCATTCCACTTTGAACATTTGAGAACAGGCCGTGTTTGTCTTGGTTTTTGATTCCTTATCTGTGGTTTTGCCTGCTCGTGCTTCAAAAGCACAATAGTGTTTTCCCCCCTCTTTGCAATGTATGTGTGCGCGCGGGCAAGGTAGTACAAACACAGCAGGTGATCCAGGGCAATAAGCTGACAATGTTTTGAGAATTTCTAATTTGATTAGTTATGTCGATATCAATGTGACATATAACGACTTCAACAAAAGCCACGCTATTGCTTAAAAAATATGACTAATGTGATTTAGTTTCTTAAACTGATACCGTGCAATGTACAAGGGAATTGCTTAGAAAAAGAATCAGGTCATGAGATTAATTTCAATCAAGCGCTAGATCTCCACGTGACAAAAGAAATAGGATGTAGAGAACATGATCTACCTTGAGGACAACGGAACAAACAAGATATATATTCTTATACTTGACAGGTATGCATTATGTGGCGCGCGATCTGTTGGTATCTTGGATCTTCATCATGGATCCGGGAGTGGGAGGAAAACAGTCAGCATGAAAGTTTAGATGTACTGTCAAAGGTCGGGTTTGGAATTTCTGCCCTCTCTTGCTTCTGTTCCCTCCTGCTCCACTAAGTTAATTCGAAACATTTTAATCTTTTGGGCCTGTAAATATGATTTGTTCGCTCGTATTCTACTGGTTTTCCATGCCACGAGAGAGCTCAGGAGAGACTGACTAGGACTAGGAAGGAATATTTTTCCCCGTCAAGGATGCATCGCTTGTTTTTGCAATGAAATCTTCTTCCATTCCCAAAAAAAAAAAAGCTGACACGGCAATTTATTAATGAAATCTTCTTTTCACGCCCATTCTTTTTACCATTGGAAAGTAGCAAATAAAGTAAAAAATAAAAATAGGAAAATTGTCGCAGCTCTTTTCACAGTTCAACTCAACGATGTGGAATCCAAAGCAAACAGTTAAAAAGAAAAAGGGAAAGAGAGAAAACACGCGCACACGCTTCGTTTGTGATGGAGACTGACAATGATAAACAATGGGAATTTGCAGGGGTTGGATGCAATCTGGTAAACCGGCAGGAACATGCGAAACAGGAATGCACGAGGCACGCTTGGCGTGGGGTGGCGACTAGGGAGGATGGCAAGGCCTCCAATCAAATATTTGTTGGGCCCAGCGACTCATGGGCTTTGTTTTCATGACCAATGCATGCACCTCCACGTATGCTTCCCTGGCCCTTTGTGTCGTTAACTTGGACCAACCGACCATTTCTCCCCATTTTATATGGGAAAAATATCAGTCAAGGATGACGGTAATTAATTTATACCAATCAAGAACTGTAAGATTTTTAAATTTCACTGTTGTTTTTGAGTTTTTAGTTAAAATTAATTTTTTATGTAAAACAACCAAATTACCCTTTGGTTCTTAGGAAATTATTGGATTATTTTACGTAAAAAATTAATTTCACCCAAAGATTAAAATTTGAGAATGTTATTATATTATTGATATAAATTGATCACAGTGGTTCTTAAATGATATTTTTACTTTTATATGCCTCTACCTGAGGCTTCGTTTCTCGTCGAAAATCCACCACGCCTCTCCCTTTGGTTCTCTTCGGTGATCTTATGTTTCACCAAACAGCCACCGTCTGATGGTAAGAGCATGAAGCTGCTGCATCCATACTTATTTAATAACTATATATATTCCATGAGAATCTGGATCTTGTCACCCGCACCGACGATGTCGATTGTAGGGTCCACGTGATTGATTTCACTCGTAGGTTCATTTTCGTCTCTTCATTGGAGTTTGAAACCTGCAGGATTGAAGAGAAGTGTCTAAACGCAATCGATGCAATAAGAATAGTCAAAGTTAGGTGCGGATAGTAGAAGTCTCGAGTCTTAGCAGTCAACCCCCAGCTTAGCATGATTTGAATTTTCTCAGAGGGTGGTTGAATGTACTCCCCTCCGCCGCAACAGGTGCCTCTTTTCTTTTTCCCCAACCCAGAGCCCCACTAAATTTGTTGGCCGGCCATCGTGTATTTTACATTTCTCTCATGTTTTATAAAATTTTTATAATTGACACATTATAAATATTAGAATTTCTCATATTGATGTATTAGAATGGATGCCTCTCCACTTGAAATATCTAGCTTTCAATGTGGGATGCATGCTGTTGGAATACGCCTCGCTGCAATGTCATGCTCGAGAGGATTCGCCAAGCTAATAGTGCCACATCTCCTGGATTCACGTGATGTTACTGTGAAAGTGAACAAATTTTTAATTGGATTTGTCAATCTTCATTGGATGGCTTTAATCCTGATCCCTGAACAATTAGTCTAACCATGATGCCCGGCATGCTAACAAGGAGCTCAAATGTCTTGCGCATGTTTGCAGGGGGAGGGGGGGTTGTGTGTGCGTATTTTTTTTAAGAATATAAGTTTAACTAATCAAACTCACAAATTTAAGTAAATTTATAATAAAAATATAAATTTAAATAATAAATTTATAAGAGTTTATCTTTATTAATAAATAACTATTAAAAATATATGATTAACTAATTAAAATATAAAATATGATCACATATATTTTAAATATAAATTATTGAAATTAAATTTATGATAGATTATTATACTAAATGTAAAAATTTTAAAATAGAGCTACCTATTTTTGGTATTTATTATTTTTATTAATATTAATTTTTGCTTTTTTAGTTTTATTTTTCTTTGAAGTGGGTCTTACCATTTTTATGATTGAGTTTTGCATAGTATTTACTTAACTAGCTCAACTCAATAAAAAATCAACAAGTTTAGCAAGTTTAATCATATTTGCATTTAGTTTGAGTATGTGAGTGAGCTGATATATTTTTATAAGCTAAAAATGTAAAAATAATAAACTTGAAAAGTGGATTCATGAATAACCGAGCTTGCATTTAATTTGATTTTATAAGTAAATTAATATGATTTTATACATTAGAAATGTAAAGATAATAAATTTGGAAGGTCAACTCGAGAATTTGACAACAGTGACTCTTATAATTGAAGTTTTATTATTTATTATTCATGAATGTCTTGTTTTTAAAATACAATGCAAGCATATAAATCTTAATTAATATTTCAAAATAAGAAATTTAAAAAATAATTAAAATTCAATTGCAAAACAAAATAAAGACAGTTCAAACCAAGCGTATATAACCTTTGCATCATTAGAATTTTTTTCCTTAAAAAAAAAAAAGTTGCTCACTCACTATCTCCCAATTTTCAACTTTTCACCCACTTTAAATCTCCATTGAAAGGTTAAAGCAAAACTCAGGACAAAAGCCCTTTGGCGTTCTACTGCCGTCTTTTATTCTTATAATTCTATCAAATTATGTTTTTAGTTTTTATAAATATTTTCAGCTCTGTACGAATTAAAATTATTTCAAAAATAAAAATTATAAAGACTAAAAAATAAAAGATCACTTAACTTTTTTAAACTATGAAAATAAAAAATATTAAAAAATTATAGAAATTTAAATTAAAACGTGTTGAATGTACGAGACAAAATATTATATTTCCCCACAAATAAACCAGTGCATGAAATTCTTCTGCTGCATACAAGACTGGCTGTACTGAATCCCGAACAGCCATATTTTGTTTTGTGCTGTTGTCTGCCGCACCCCCAATTTGAATCTCTCCTCCCATTTCACAACTTCACCGTCTCTTCAACTCTTCAAAATCTCACACATTTGACATTTCACTTTCCTTCACTGTTTTCCCGCCTCAGTGCATCATTGTCCCTTCTCTTTCGTTTCCCTTCTCCCATCTCTGCTCCGTCAATTTGTTCACTCCCTGTTGCTCCCTGTCACCGTCATTCAGAGAGAAATGGAGGTCACTTCCAAAGCAAAAATATCAGAGCTCCAAATCCCCAAGAAATGGAAGGACAGAAACACCAGCCCTGAAAGAACAAAAGTCTGGACTGAACGTAAGCCCAAGTCGGAAAGGAAGGTCTCGGTCGTTTATTACCTTTCCAGAAATGGCCAGCTCGAGCACCCCCATTTCATGGAGGTCCCCCTCTCCTCTCCTCAAGGACTCCATCTCAGAGGTATTCCAAATTCCCATTTCGCTTTCTCCCCGTTTCCTCATTATGAAACAAGAACAAAAATTTGTTATCCTGAACCCCATTTCAAATTTTGCAATCAAACAGGGCAAACTTGGCATTCATTTTTCTTTCTTTTTTCAGATGTAATTAATCGCTTGAACCTCCTTCGCGGGAAAGGCATGCCCAGCCTCTACTCCTGGTCTGCGAAACGGTACTGTCTCTTCTTTAAGCCATTGCAATACAGCTGCAATCAGAGTTCAGTTTCTTAATTTATTTTTTTACGGTCGGTGCAGGAGTTACAAAAACGGTTTCGTTTGGCACGACTTATCAGAGAACGATTTCATCTACCCGACTCAGGGGCAAGAGTATATTCTCAAAGGATCGGAGATTCTCGAGCATGCGTCTATTCAAAGGCCTTTTGAGACAGCGTCGTCTCGGTCTCTCCGGCCGCCTGACGATATTCGCAAGTCAGAGGATGAATCTGATTTTCCGGTGATCACGAGGAGGCGAAACCAGTCTTGGAGCTCCATAGACCTCAACGAGTACAGGGTGTACAAGTCCGAGTCTTCCGGCGACTCTTCCGGGAAACTCGCCGCTGACGCCTCGACTCAGACGGACGATGAGCGACGGCGAAGGAGGGTGGTCAGGGAAGAGAAGGAAATCGAGGTGGAGGGAGAGAGAATCCCGGAGGCGCGTGTGATTGGTCACAGTCAAAGTACGGAGCTGAGCCGGGAGGAAATTTCACCTCCACCGTCCGATTCAAGCCCTGAAACACTAGAGACGTTGATGAATGCAGATGGACGGCTGGCATTGTCCTCTTCGAGAATCGATAAAGATGGTGCAAATCTGTCGGCGGCTTATAACTACCCAAGCGGAAGGATGAAAGCCTCGTCTGTTCTGATACAATTGTTATCGTGCGGTTCAATCTCTTTTAAGGACTGCGAGCCCAATCCCAACAAAGATCACGGGTTATGCATGGTGGGGAATCACAAGCCTAGGCTGGTCCGCGGAGCAGGGAATCAAACAACCAAGGAGACGGGAACTTCCATTGAAATACCAGATTTGAGCGGGCTTAGATTAGAAGATAAGGAATATTTTAGTGGAAGTTTGATCGAGACCAAGAAACCGGATTTTCTTGCGTTGAAGAGGTCTTCCTCTTACAATGCAGATAGGTATGTAATTTACATCTGCTTCTTGCTTTTTTGTTAGCCATCACGAAATAAATTTATTTAATTTGGGAGCCCTTTTGCTTTTACTGCGAAAAATTCGAATTTACAAAGAATTTTCAACTTTGCCTTGCCTAGTAATGAGTGACATGGTAGACTGTAGACTTTGACGTTTATACAGTTTCAGCTGCCTAGGTTCTATAAATGAAATGCGGGTATGGTACGAGATATAACCTGGGAGGGAGAACGGAAAACCTCATCGAGATTGAAGACATAATTAAAATGTATATTTATATTTTTATATTAACATATCATCATTTGTCATAATTAGTGAATACCAAGCATAAACTTTGCAATTTAAATTAGAAGTATTATAAAACACGGTTATCATATATCAAGAATTAGACGCCAAAGAATGTCGGCATTCATAATTAAAGAGGGACAGAAATTATTTTTGGGATTCAAATAAGCATTTATCAGAGGGATTTTTGTGGTATATATGTTTCGTGTATCATTGTTGCAAGGGAACGTGCCTGTGTCTACGGAATCTTCATGTGGTCAGTTCTTTTTTCTTTCCTTCTTTCCTTCCTTTTGCTGGGGCCATAATGTGGTCAGTTGCGGAAGAGGAAGACAAAATGGTTCATAATTGAACGTAGTTTGCCGAATGAGAAGCAGTATTAGCATCAGGAAATAGCCATACCGGAGGGGAGGCTGTTTGGAAAGTACGGTGAGGTTACTCTTTAGTTTAGAAGCGTAGAGTTTCTGAACTGTTGAGGTCAGAAAATTTTGATTCTTCGCTATAAACTCGATGCCTTAGTCTGCATTTTAGGGATCTAGGTTCGTACAATTTTTCACAAGAAGCCAGCTAGCGACCGTTCGTTTTGTAGTGTCACAAGTGTAACATTTATTCCTGACCCTGGTTTGGTGCTCGTCCGTCCCTGTCTGTGATCTCTGATCTGATCCCAATCCAATGCCATCACTAATAAATTAAACTTTCCGATTAATTAACGGTAAATTTATTCTTATTGATCCAAGTACGTTGTTTTTCACCCTAATTAATCTGTCAGCCTCTGCATGTGGGGTCACTGTTTAAAACATCCCTGTAGTTAATATCTTAAATTCTCAGAGATACTAGCAGCACAAATTCACGGGAAACTCTGAAGGGTGAGATGCAGATCTGTCTCTCTCTCTCTCTCTCTATATATATATATTCATTATTAATGTCTTCGCTTATTGGATATTGACATTTCCTAATTCGAAAGAGAATTATAGTGAGGGAGATTATGTGGTTTGAAAATATTTGATATAATGTATATTTGCCTTGGAAATTGTGATGATGAGTCTAAAATGTGGAGTGTATTGTGGTGGTGGCAGTGGATCCCAGTTACAGATAACGGAGGGTGGAGATGCAGCGAGAGCCAAGTGCATGCCAAGGAAATCCAAGAAAGAGAATAGTGGCAGCAAAAGAATTGAGGCGCAACAGTCAATGTAAAATGTGAAATGCAGCGATGGACTGAAACAGAATTGCTTGAGTTCGAGTCAATTAGAGCCGTGACAGGGAGCCTGGAGCTGCGCATAAACGCAGGGCTGGTGGGCTAGTTGTAACTTGTAGCTGGTAGTATAATATTTTTTATATGATGCACAATGCCAAGTTCGGAGCTTAAGCTTATTTCTTGACCATATCCATATCATTTTGGCTGCTTGTGCCGGCCGTTAGCTTGGATTCCTTCCTTTTTCTGTGTCGGTGATTGCTGAAAAAAAAAAAGAAAAAAAGAAAGACGCCTTTGACTGTTAAATGCTCTGACTTTTATAAATCTGAAATGAGATTTCATTTTAGGTATTATTATCTGCATGTGACTTGACTTTGGTGTCCTGGCCCTTTCCAGTTTGATTTGTATTTGGATTTGGATTTATTCCTTCCATATCTATCATCGATCTCAATGTATTTATACGAAAAAAATATCATAAAAACTCAAGATTGTCGCGTTATTTATTAATTATAATAAGTATAGCTCGTTTTAAACTGCTGCGTGGTGGATGAACAAGTATTTTGTATCATAAAATTCATAAATTATACGTAGTTGGCTTTGGCAGTGCTATTTATTTATATTTAATATTTGTATAATGCAAATTCCCTTCAAAAATCAAATTATTCAAAAGAGGGAAGAGAATGGAGATATTTGGGCCCGTTTATTTTGGATTATTTCATTAAAACATTACTTATTTTTTTAAAATTTATTTTACGAGTTTTTATCATGTTTGTTTAAATTTTAAAAAATAATTAAAATTAAAAAAATAAATTTTTAATTATTTTAAGAAGCTACTTAAAAATAATGCAATAAATAAGAGGGAGCATTTTTGAAAGATATAGAATATGTAAAGATATTATAAAATCTTAAAATAGTATAATAATAAATTATTTTTATAAAAAAAAATCATGTATGTCATAAAATTTAAAAAAAATTAACAATCACTTTTTTATTATTGTAATCAAATATAAAATAATGCTTATTTTTTTATAAAGTCTTTAAAATGTTTAAAAAATATTATTAAACCAAGAAAAAGGAACTTACAAGTCCGTCCCGCTCCCATATGCATTTGTTTGTTTTTGTATTCCTTTTATCTGAACAGCTGAGAGGGGTGGCTTGCACGTGCTGCATTTCTCGTTCATCCAAGAATGTGATTTAGAAAGAAATGGAGAGGTTCCTCTCCTTTACATATACCACGTTGCAAGTCCACCCAATCGCGTGCCCGTGAGTATTCCGGAATTGACGCAAAAATCACACAACGTATCTTGTGAATGTATAGTTAGAAAGCCTTCGCAAGAATACGTCAAGGTGACTCCCAAGTCAACATCAGACACTCCAAAGCTTCAGAATTTGTCATCGAGACAACTTCCAAGTCGGGGCATCGAGTTCGTGGACACCTAAAATTGAGGAATTTTATAGTCGCCCCATGCCCTGGAGACTCCAAAACAAACAATTATTCAGTAGTTGTGGTTTGACTTTTTTGTTTTCCATCGTCATTGATATTAGCAGACTTTGTCTTTCAACCACCTTTAGGGGTTGGTTCAGTTTTAAATTTCTTTGTTGGCCCTCCCCAAAAAAATAAAATGCTTTGCGCTCCTTTTCATAAAAAGTTACGTTTCGAGCACTATATTGACACTGCATCTTTAGAGATCTTTTGATCATGACACGAAAGACATGTATGTACGGACGTGCACCTCCAAGCTTAACATCTCTGTAGAGGACAGACGCCTATTTTTTTTTTTTTTTTTTTTGGGTGGGGGGAATAAGGACAGACGCCTTTTGATTTGACTTTTGAGTTTCCAGGGCTGTCACGGGTACTTGGGAGAGCGGAAGTCTTCATCATGGGCTTCTGACACAGCGTAGGTAAGCCCAAAGAGAAAGCGTTGGGCTCTTGGGCTTCTCTCCGAATCTTGTAATGGTTTTAGGGTAATCAGGTATTTCAAGTTTTAAAAATTAAAATATGGATCCAATGCAGAGTCGACAATCCACTTCTCAAGGTGAAGTACGAATTGCGATTAATGCTTTGGGCCATTTGGAATTCTTTGCGTGCTCCGTCTTGTTTCCATGACTTTTAAGTTCATGTGTTGCGCGTGGAGATGGCAATCTAGTTTTGATGTGCGGCGCCTGATGGATCCCCTGCCTTATTCATACAAGCCAACGAACAAGAAGAAGAGAGAGTGTAAAGGTCACCCTTCTTCTCTGTCGTCATTGTCTTCTACTTCTTCATCGGAATCATCGAGCGTTGATGTCTGAGAAGGCGTGAAATTGGGAATGGGTGGGGACGGAAATAAGAGTAAAGGAAAGGGGGGAAAAAGGTAATGTTTGATACATAAAATAAAATAGAAAAGTAATAGGAGTAAATATAATTAAAATATCATCACTTTACGAAGTAATATATATTTCTTAGCTTCAGTGATGGAATGTGAGGACTTGAGTGTGATAGAAAAGGAATAATGGTGGAACGAATTTTAAAATTCATTCACACCTAACCTGTGGCCCATGAGTTGAGCATGGAAATGCAACTACATTGTTACTGTTAAATAAATGGATGAAAATTTTGGGATGAAGGAAACTTTTTAGAGAAATGAGAATGAAAAAAGAAATAGAGATGAAATAAGTTTAGGGTTCCTTATATTCCAACTTGGCAGAGCAACCTCTCCATTTCCTTGTCATTGATCTCTTTCCCCTAATTTTCCGATCATAATTCATATATTACCATTAATATCATTGCATTGAATGAATCTATTTTAGTTAAGGATTGATGAATGGTTATGATTAGGGAAATGGATAACATAAATTGAGGCATGCAATTTACATGAGTTAATGATATTTCCAACTTATGTCACATGGCTTACTAGCAATGCCAAATGTTATCAAATAAGTTAATATTTTCATTGCTAAAAAAAATTTAACAGGGGATAAATCTCTTGCTAAATAACATATATTTCTCATTAAATGCAAATAACATGCTTGTTGATCTTAGCGATGAGATACATTCAAAAGCCAATTTGGTGGGAAATCGATCCATCACTAACTATGTCTACATTAAGAAATGGTCACCTTATTGCACATCACTTGCTACATGCATGTCAACTTATGTCCTATTTTCTTGCCAATTGAATTGAAATGCTCATTATATGAAAAAATATATATATTATTTAATGATACACATATATTAAAATATAATTGTTGCAAAGTGAAAGTTTAAAAGATTAATGGTATCTGGAGAAAAATTTTCCACGCAAAAATGTCTCTTAATTAACCCTTTTATCAATTTCAATTCAGAGCATAACAACACTGGCAGACACGGACATGGGGTTTAAAATGTGGCATAAACATGGATGAGTACTGAAAAAACCCACCCTATCAAGCTTTGTTGCCATCCCAGCAGTGCATAATAATAAGTAGAGCTACAATGATGAGAAGTGGTTTAGTTATTAGCTTACAATTGAGGCAGTCACGGAGGAGTTAGTTTTTGATTTAGTTTCAAGGTGGTTTAGAATTTTATGAAGCCATGTATGATGTTGAATACAAAAAGATGATTTTGAAAATTGGGAAAAAACTGCTTCCTGTATTCTTGCGTTCCTATCATCTCAAATATTAACTTTTTAAATTATAATTTAATTTTTAAAAATACAACTAATTCAATTAATTCATCTTCTATCTATAAATTATACGAATCCACATCATGATTTGAAAAAGCAGCAGTTTATGAGTAAATCAATTTTTTTCCAATTTATAAAAGCATAATTGGAAAAAATAACTTCTCTCCCATAATCGCAAATATAATTGCTCAGTAATTCATAATTTAAAATTTTAATTTAAAAATATTAAATATATCTATATAAATAATACCTGTGCCTAAAAAAAAATTATGATTTTGAAAATTGATACAGAACTGCTTTCCTTTATTATTGTGTGCTCTCTGTGATCTCAAATATAACTTCCTTTCTAAAGATGACAGGTCATGAAATTTGGAATGGGGTAGAATAATTTTGTGAAGAATAATTTAAATAAGTTATTGAAAAATAAATCATATAAATAGATAAATTAAAATTGAATTGAATAATTAATGAAGATTTTTATTACCAATTTTATTATAATTGTGTGAATCAATAAAATATTTACATTAAATTCTATATTAGTGTGTTATATTATATTTCTTATTTTTTATATTTTTATTGTTTATTTTAAAAAACAAATAAAACTACATCACTTTCAAATTTGTCATGCCACATGTTCTTGATGTTTTTATAAATTTTTGATCATTTTATTTAAAATAAATAAAACTACTTCACCAGCATGTATTTTCCATTATCTCTTCAATTATTTTAAAAAATATTTTTAAGAAAATAATAATAACTATTCTAAACTAACCGAAACTACTTTCCCTTATCTTTTATTCTTCTCTCCTTTATTTTTATTTACCTTAATCTTCTCTCCCAATACCCCCCTCATTATCATAACAGCTACATTAACATTCATTTTTAAAAACTCCATAGGGTTAGATCAGTTGGTTGGGACTATTCTAGCTTAACCACCAGGTCTTGAGTTCCAACTGTGGGTACGCAACCACTCTAGGGGCCAAGGGTGTCAACCTTAATAGTTTCATGTCATGCCTCGATTCAGATTAGTCTAGAGCCATTGATGTGCCTGAAAGATGACCTGCCCTAAAGATACTGGGTACTCATGCAAAAACAAACATTCATTTTAAAAATACTTCTTAAAAAATAATAAACATGGTATCTTTGAAATTATTAGAAACCACTTCCTCTTATTTAAGTCTTATCTTTTATTTTTTTCCCCTTGCTATATTAATTATTTTATTTTATCCGTAATATTCTTTCTCACAATCTCTTCCATATTATAATTCTTATTTTTTCTCTCTCATCATATCCCACTCCCACATTGATTTTATTAACTATTTTTAAAATTATCATTTTTTTATTTTTGATTTTCTTGTGGATGCAATTGAAAACTAGGCATGTATGAACGTAAGTAATAACTTGCCTCAACCCACGATCTAAGTGGAGATTAATAATTTTTGATCATATTGGGATGGTATGTTTTCTTGCCTCCACTTTTTCATGCGCCATGATGATAGTGCCACAAGGTTTTTCTTTTGTTTCCCATATGAGTTTTCCTAATGCTGATCTAATTACACATTCAAATGCCAAATTGTAGTTTTTGTCTATTCTATAATTGTCTCATTCTCATTATTTCTTTTTCGAAGTGATGTCTACTTATGACTGTTAATCAATGGGAACTTCTCATCTTTTTATACCTAACACAGGTGAGATGAATTGGTATGTGATTCCCACATCTCATTTAGTTATATGA